AGAGAGAGAGAGAGAGAGAGAGAGAGGGAGAGAGAGAGAGAAAGAGAGGGAGGCAGGCAGGCAGACAGAGGCAGAGAAAGAGAGAGATAGAGAGACAGAGACGGATTCGTGGGAGGGGGAAGATAGTTGCATATAAAAGGAAGGAATACAATTTTACGGTAAGAATTGAAACTAATAAAGAGATTTGTTACAGCGTGCTGGAAAGGATGAAGAAAAAAGACGTACACAATAAACACGAAAAAAGTAATTTTTTCCATATAGAAAAAAAATCATAATTATTATCTGCACACACGCCTAAGGTCATTTCAAACCTTCATTACAAAAAAAGGAAGACTGAATTTCGAACTTTACTGTTTATTGAGAAAAAAATCCCTGTAACGAATGGCTTGACAAAGGAACAAGAACTGCACCAAAATACATTTTAGCTTAGTTTTAGTAAGAACTCTACGTCAGTTGCAACACAAACAGAACATATCTGTGCCGAAGGTTAGACGTGTAACTAGAGAGTAACTTTCAAAGAAATTATATGAAGATGCAAATTAAAAGACAAGACAGGCAACAATTAAACAAATAAACAAATTAAATAAGCAACAATTAAACAATCAAATACGTTACAGTACAAGACAAACCAAAATTAAACGAGGAAGCAAAATCAAAATACAACACAAACAACAATTTAGCAGACAGAGAAACAAATTCGAAGCAGAAGCAATAACAACAACTAAACAAAAACAACAATAATATTGCATCGAAAACAAAATGGAGTTTTACGAGTTCTCCTGGCTTTGCCGGTGGTCTACAACCCCACCAGCGCTCATGATCTGTCTTCCACTGTCACTTCTTTTCCGCGGTCATCAGCCTATCCCACGCCAGGGAAATTGAAGGTGACTTCCCCATTTACACATGTATAAAAGCAGCATTATATCTTCCATGGAACAACGAACAAAGCTGTCTCTCAGATAAAGAACGCAAGAAAAGGAGATTAATAAGAATTTAAGAAAGCAAAAGAAGATAATATCTGCATTAAGTTTCTAACCTACCTGACATCGTGTACTGACCAAGTACTCTTCTCAAGTGCGAAATAAAGGTAAGCATTTCGAACACTTCATAATGTGTAAACTTATGACAATATCAGATTTATTTTACCTCACACTTCTGGCTTTATATTTAAAGTATGAAGAGACATTAAATTTTAAAAATCAAAATTAACCTAGGTCTATATTTTAACTTAGCGTAAAAACTGAGAAACATTTAAATTTTATATTTCGGCTTCTGGAGTTGCTACCGCAAGCCAGAGAATACATTCAGTGAGAACGAAATAATATGTATATTTTGCATATTAATATTATGCATATTTGTATAAAACATAAATACATGTATTTATTTTTATTTTCTTTCTCTATATATTAAATTATTGAAAGAGATGCTTATTCTTCTTCTGTTCAAACGAATAAATAAAAGAAAAAACCAAAACCAAAACAAACTAATAGCATGAACAGCTAACCCCATTTTACTTACTATCACTGACACCACGAACGATAAGGTGGTCGTTCTCTGCCAGCCTGTCTGTCTGTCTGTCGGTATGTCTTTCTGTCTGTCTTTCTGTCTGTCTGTCTGTCTGTCTGTCTGTCTGTCTGTCTGTTTGCTTACTCCCCAAAACCAACAACAGCCTGTCTTCGAAATCTTTCTATTTTAAAAAAATCAATTTTGATCTTTACTTTGTTTCTCGTGTTCATAAATGTTCTCTCCCACATTCCAGCAAAAAAAACCCAGAACAACAATGGAAACTGCCGCAATTCTCGCCGTCCTCTTCAATGTCGGTAAGTAAACTTTTCAAATGGGTAGTTTGCGGGTGCTCTGGTGTGGTTTGCTCATTCTTTCTTATCAAACATCTATCGTCCGTGTCTCTTCTCCTTTTTTTGTGTTTGTTACACTCTTGAAACATCTTTAATCTTTGGTATGCTCTTATTGTGTTGCAACTGCAGTAAAATGCTAACAAAAGCTATTTTTTAACAATTGAAGCAATAAAATAAATAGAATGTCTTTGGCTGATTATACATTTCACCTGGGTGGACTGAGGAAAATTCGAGTGAAGAGCCTTTTTCAAATACAGAACATTGGGCCCCCGACGGGAGTCGAACCCACGATCTTACGGTTGATAGCCCAAGAGCCTAATCACTAGACCATATTTGCATTTTGCAAATTATATCATTCATATTCTCACAAATAGGAAGCAGAAGCCAATTCATTTGTATCTTATCAACGACTGAGAAATCATGGAGGGAATAGAAAGTCAAGTTAATGTCACCATTGCTTTAAAGGAATGTTTAATTAATGAAATTAATGTTTCAGGATAATGCTCACTTTTCCTTGTATATCAACAGCAGCAATAATAGTAACAAAAACAGTGGTAATAATAATAGTAGTAGTAGTAGGACTAGTAATAATAATAATAATCGTGGTAATGGTTTAAATAATAGATGTAACAACATAACAATATGTGAGGCAGCGTGGTGGAATCAGGCTCTCGTCAAAATAATCAAAATGAAGAAACTTGCATTTTTCCGCAGGTTTGTGAATTTTTATCGAATTTTTGTTTTTTGGCTGAACACCCTTCATGCCCATTAAAGAACTCATTTCTATGTGAATTTTTCTGAAAAGCGTAGATTAAAGGCACAAAAAAGTAAATTTTCAGTTACCACGAACTCTTAAGCTAAGGAATTATTAATCTTTGGCGGCCATGTTCTCTCTAATTTTACCTCTAAAAACAGGTGACCCCTAACTACTTCTTTCGCAAATATCTCGACCTGTATTCAAGATGAATGGATTTTTTTCATCCAAATAAAGACAAGTGAACAAGCTTTAAGATGATACCAATAACTCTACATGCCCAAAAATTGACGAGATCCTGATTTCACCACGCTGCCTCACATAAAATAATAATAATAATAATAATAACAATAATAATAATAATAATAATAATAATAATAATACTAATAATAATAGTAATAATAATAGTAATAATAATAATAATAATAATAATAATAATAATAATAATAATAATAATAATAATAATAACAGTAAAAGTAATAATACTAGTAATAAGAACATTGGTAATAATAATATTGATACATATATGGCACCTAATTCCTATGCGGCCCAAAGCTGTATTATGCACAATTATCACTCAATTTATTAAACTGACAAATTGAAACACACACACACACACACACACACACACACACACACACACACACACACACAGACACAAGCAACTCTCAGGCCGACACACATTCTTACAAATATACCTCATACCCCCTCCCCCCCTTAGTTAATCTATTTGTATATTACTAAAGAGTGTGCATTTTTGCTCGATGTTTTGACAACTCTTCATTTTTTAAAATGTCTGTCTGTTTGTTTCTCTTCCTTACAGTGTTGCTGTGCCAAGGCCAATCCTACCGGTCTTCTCTGGACAGCCGACTTCTCCTATCCGACAGAAATCCATCACTCCTTGCACGCAACCAGCGGGTACGTTCTTGTGTTCGTTTTGTTCGAAATATATTGTGTGTCCATTAATGAGAACAAAAGACAACAAAACCCAAGTGTAAAAAAACCTATCAATCAAAACAACGACTAAAACAAAAACAAACCAAAAAAGCAAAACCCACACACAACCTCCTCCCCCCCCCCTCCCCCCCCCCCCCCCCCATACACACACACTTTAAAAAAACCATACCTACCAAACAAACAATAAAGGCAAAATAGAAAATAGCAAAACGAAATAAAAGAAACATGCGGATAACTTGAAAATTACAGATGTACGCTATTGGATATATATATATATATATATATATATATATATATATATATATATATATATCGACATACGATATTTATAGTAACAGCAATCTTGTTTGACAGCATTGAGGGATTCCCACTTTGTTTTCGTGCACGGTGGCAACATGACCGCAAAGCACTATTGCAGTATTTTTAAAGCCTGTAGCCTACAGTGGCGTGGTGGCGGAGTGGTTAGTGCGCTTGTCTCCAAAGCAGAAAGTCCAGGTTCAAGCCTCGGTTCGGCCACGGATAATTTTTTCGCCCTGTAATGGGTACCTGACTTCAAGTTGGGGGAGTAAAGGACTAATTTTTTTATAAAATAATTAAATATATGAGATACGTGATATTATTGATTTTTTTTCAGCTCGGAGGAGGGTCAAGCTACACAAATGGTCTCCTGGGCAATATGTAAGTAATCCTTCACATGAGTATTTTGTATGAGCTTCTCGCGTATAATCAAAACTGTAGGTCTGGACTGTTCTTTTGTTTTTCTTTTGTAATAAACTCAACGCCCAGTTAGACATAACTGAGATATTTAGAATAAGCAGAACCCACCCCTTCGCCGCAAAAAAGAAGATAGAAGATTAAAACAATGAATAAATGTATACAGAATTTTAGGAGCTAAAATCTTAATTTCTTTCGCTTCTTTCCAAATTAGAAAACAGTGTTGAATTGTTTACGCATTGATGTATGTATACATGATATATTCACGCATGCACACACACACACACACACACACACACACACACACACACACACACACACACACACATATATATACACACACACACACGCACACATACACACACAATGTATAGACATCCTTGTGACGTATAAATAATACAGATAAATAAAAATATACATTTTCTTTTTGCTGCAATGAAAGTCTCTTGTTGCTCTCCCTAGAGCTGCGGGCCCATCTCGTTCATCTTGCTTTGAGCGATGCCAATCTGCCTATCTCAACGGCGGTCAGACGATCGTGAGGGGATGCGCGTGCTCCCAATTCGACTTCACCACGTCCCAGAGACTCGGCGGAGCTCTCATTGATAGCGTCAACTGTGTAAGTTTGGCGTCTCAGAAAAATTAATATAATTGTATCGGATGTGACTCGAATTTTCCTCTTCTTACTGGACCCTTATATATTATCTTCCTTTTCTCCCCCCCCCCCCCCCCCTTTCCGTCTCCTCCTGCTTCTGCACCTCGTCCCACTCCTACTTGTCTTTCTTCTCCTCTTCCTACTCCTCCTTCTTCGATTCATTTTCCTCGTCCTTCGACTCCTCTTCCTTCTCCTCCTTCTTCGACTCCTCTTCCTCGTCCTTCGACTCCTCTTCCTTTTCCTTCAATTTCAATGCCTGCCTGTCTGTCTACCTGTCTGTCTGTCTGTCTGTCGGTCAGTCTGTCTGTCTCAGCGTTTCTTCTGCCGGTATCTGTCTATCTATCTACCTTCCTATCTATCTTTTTATCAATCTATCTATCTACATATCTGTCTATCTATCTATCTACAGGATTGCCCACTAGGAACTGTTTGCGAACTGGACTTTGGCGTAAGGCGCTGTGTCCCCAGGACCTCTGTCAATGGCGGACGATTGGGCGGCTCCTACAGCGGATCTCGTCTCGGAAATAGACTTTCTTCTCGTAAGTTCATTGACAACCTTCAGTATTCTGCTTTGTACTTTTACGGCCTCTGCTACCTTTCTGTGTCTAGTACATTATACTATTATTATTATGCACGTTTTTCGTTTTCCACACGTTTTGACGATTAGTGGTCTGTGTCTATATCAATATAATATCTAGTAATATTGGCTTGAAGAATACCGAACAGTTCACAACACAGTGCCCAGTAGCCATCAGCTGATCAGAGAGATGACACGATATTTGATGATTAAACAAATAAGCAGGTGTAGATAGATAGATATATATATAGATAAATAGATAGATAGATAGATAGATATATAGATAGATAGATAGATATATAGATAGATAGATAGATAGATAGATAGATAGATAGATAGACAGATAGATAGATAGATAGATAGATAGATAGATAGATAGATAGATAGATAGAAAGATAGATGGATAGATTGATTGTCTTTACTGCGCAATGTGGTACAATTTTCAGTGCTTTTGTTATTGAAAAAAATCAAGTTATGTTCAAGAATAAAATGGAAGCTAAAAAAATTAATAAATTAAAATAAATAAAATAAAATAAATATATAAATGGTATAGCCTGAGCTAGAATCGGAAATGTGCGTAGGGGCAGTCACGAATCTGAGTAATGTGTGCCTTTGGCCTCAGTTAAGTTTGTCCTTGAACTCCTGTCACCAGGTCAGTGCGGCGTCTTGTCCCCTCGCTGTGAAGTCATTTCTCTGGGCAGTCTGAGGTCAGTGACATATCGCTTCACCTACGACTACTCTCTGGGTACCTGCGTGAGAGTTCCTGTACGCTCTATCTGCTTCGCCCAGGGAAGGGCCAACAACATTTTCACATCACAGAGAGAGTGCCGTCTTTCTTGCCAGGAAACTCTTGGTGCATTGACTTACTAATTTTCCGTATTCATTCTGATTTCCCATCTTGGAAGAACCTCCCCTCACCCACGACTTTTCTTTGTCTTTTTTTTTGTTCCTTTTTAGAACCACAATTTATGAAATTTTTTTGTTTTTTCTTTTTTCAAAAGAATGAGAACATTGACACAATTGTATATTTTGAACCTGTATTTGAATTTTGCCCTTCGATATTTCATTAAAGTTAAAGTCTTTGTTTACAGACGATCCTTTACAATACCATTGTAACGTCAAATTATAAGACTAAATTCTAGGACTGAATACCGCAGAAATAATTTTAGGAAGCATTGAGGTAAACACTAGGCCTACTGAGAGAACTGGAACCAATGTCATAGGCTTGTCAACAACTAATCCAATGCAAAGTGAAGCAAAATTGAGTCTCAACTTTTAGGTGAAGCAATCTCTTTTCAAACTCCATTCCATACACATGGCAAAGACTAGTACTCCCCTCCCCTCTTTTTAGCCTCGTTTTCTTTGTTCATTATCAAAAGTAAGAGTAATAATAATGAATGATTCAAAGCAAACTAATAATACGACCAGTTCGATATCATTGAGAGGTAAAACTTTCCCTCTCTTTCCCGTGCTTTAATGTTCTTTCCCGCTTACAGTCCCTTTCATGATCAAGTATGAAATGTAAAAAAGCACAGTACTTTTGCATATTATTTCGCCACTTCTATCTTGTACATGTGTGACTTTAAAACGTCCCATTCGCTTCCAGAAACAAGATCTGTATCCCTTTACTTTAAAAAAGCATCATCATGTGATAATATGTGATTTTTTACTTTTTTTACAGAGCGAATAAACACAATTTATTACAGTTTCATGACTTTTTAAACTTTCAAATGTGTTTGAAGCCCTGTTTTTAGAAAAAAAAACCCTTTGAATAATGGCATATAAACATACACACATTATATTACATACATACACACACGCGCACACACACACACACACACACACACACACACACACACACACACAGAGAGACACACACACAGAAAGAGAGAGAGAGAGAGAGAGAGAGAGAGAGAGAGAGAGAGAGAGAGAGAGAGAGAGAACACACACACTACCTTTCGGTCAAAAATTCAGACAGAACTTTATAATTCCAAGGTGGCGACTTGTCACTACCAGGGTGTTTCCCCACGCCCGATATTACTCACACGTCAATAAATGTGAGTCATATTGCCTAGCAGCTGGACAAAAAAAAAAGATAATAATTAATTCTCTTTTTTTTTGGTAAGTGCTTTGAGGGCTCCCCACTGAATAAGGTCATATGAGAGCTCGGGACATGTTAAACATTTTCAGTTGAGAGGAAATTTTGAATTTTGCCCGGATGCCTCTGAGCCTACTTTTATTGCTTTGGACCACCAAAAGGTCTTTAACGTGCACAACTTGCACACGGGACCTCCGAGATTTTCGACTTTGTCCGAGACGGATAGGGGAATATCTTTCCAACCTACAGAACTGAGGTGTTGCTGAAAGACAGCAGTAAGAAAGAGCCAAAGAGTAGCAGTAGAAAGGCTGCAGACAGAGTTAGGAGCCCAGAGGAGGGGGCAAAGGAGGTAAGGGGTGTGGGCAGAAAGTGGAGATGAAAGCAGACAACAGAACATTTCTAGAGAGCAGGATAGGACGTGAAAGGAGACAATTTTGGAGAAAAAAAATTCCGTCCCTACCCGTTTTCGAACCAGCGACCTATTGAATGAGAGATGAACACCTTAACCTGTAGACCACGAAAGTCCCCGAATTCTTTTACTTTTACAACATCGAAACAAATAGTAATAGGAATATTTTATTAGCCAGCCTCATCTGTGAGAGTTCGAGGTCCGTTTCTCTATGCTGGACCAGGCCACGACAACGCCAGCTAATGTGGTGTAGCAGTTAGGTGCTTCACCACAGGACCCGGAAAGCGTAAATTCGATTCTCTGTTTGGGGAACATGTTTATCGAAAGTATAATAATATTCGTCTCTCAGCTTGGATTTTGTATCCCTCTCGGCACGGATTGGCCATGACAGGTACGGTCGAGTCCAACCGCCTTTTAATTAATCTAAAATAATATGTTGATGGGTCGTAAACCATTTACTATAATTAAAGCAAGGAAAGAGAAGTTGTTCCTGCATCCGATCCAGACATTGGGGATTGCCTTGTAAGTGAGACAAATTCCTCGGCCTTCGGCATATTGTGGCAGGTTGGCCAGTTCCTTTCCACGTAGCCTTTACTTCCCCAACAGGAAGTCAGATATCCATTACTGCTGGGTGGGTAGGAGAGGGCTAAAAAAAATCCGTGTCCGAACCGAGGCTAGAACCCGGACTTTCCACTTCGGAGACGAATGCACTAACCGCTCAGAATAATTTACACAACACTAAAAAGAGAGCTTGTAACTTTTGATCTACACCCATCGTCGGAATTCCCTGTGGAGAGATCAGTATTGAAAACAAACGTGTCCTCTGAACAAAATCACAATGTAATATTTAATTCTTTGAAAGACCGACCGAGCGGTTAAACTGTTGGCTCGAATGTAATTAATGCAAATAAACAAAGCAAATCATATCCGCACACACACACACACACACACACACACACGCACACAAACACACACACACACACACACACACACACACACACACACACACACATACATACACACACACACACACGCACACAAACACACACACACACACACACACACATACACACACACACACACACACACACACACACACACACACACACACACACACACACACACACACACACACACATACGGACCCAGAGGCGCCCACTAGCGCGTATAATACACATTTTGATTTTGAGCAAAAGGGGAAAGATTAGTGTTTCAACTTACATCTAGGGTCTTGTGGTAATAATTGACGCTTCTTTAATATTTGGTTCTGGAAGAAAGCGAAGATGAAAGTAAGTTCAGAATACTCAGAGCTTTAAAAAGTTAATGCCCCCCCCCCCCTTACACACACACAAACGAGAAAAACGGTTTAAAATATTTTTTTAAAGAACCAAACAAAATCACAAAGTTAAACAACAAAAAGTAAAAATAATAAAACAAGAACAAATACAAAAACAAACCACAAAACCAAGCTACCAACCAAAAAAAACAACAACAAAAAACTAAAGCAAAACCCCAACAAACACTAACCAGTAACTACAACAAAAAAGTACTGAAAAAAACAACAAAACAAAAGACAGAACAAAATTCAATGAAACTATATAAACGATCAACCGATTAAACAAACAAACAAACAAACAAACAAACAAACAAACAAACAAGCAAACAAACAGACAAAGAAGAAAAAAACAAAAAAACCAACAACAAACCGAACCAAAACAACAAACGCACTGGACAAAGTCTACACAAAATTACAGATATTTCACAGTCTTTCCAAACTTGCCTCACTTTGGATATTTAGAAAGAAAATATTATAAAAGAGATGAAAGAGCGATTATAAAATGATTATTATAAATTACTTTGAGCTGCATCAACATCTAGTTTTATGAGTCCCTTCCATTGTCTTAAATTCTTCTAATACAGCCACACAGCTTAAAGCCTAAAACAACCAGCCAATATATCAATAATTGTGCAACCAATGTATTAATCAATCAGTTCATCAATCAATTTATCAATCGCTCAGTCAATCGACCAGTTTAGTTAACTAATGCATAATCTTGCGGAACATGAAACATGGATGGCACTGGCAATAACTAAAAGAAAAAACGACCCTTCATTAATCACTTTTAAACTCAACGAAGTAGGAAAAACGGTCACACACATATGGGTGGTTGGCGGGTGCTATGGTGTGGCATGCTCCTTATCGTCATCATCCCCCCTCCTGCCTTTTTGTGTATGTTACTACCTTGTAACACCTCTAATCCTGGGCACTTTATATGACATTATTCTGTTGCAAGTGCCCGTAAAACTTGCAAAAAAACGGCCACTTACGTAAGATCAAAATCAGTGGCACTGCGGCCGAAGAATCTACAGTCGACTATCCCAGAGATCCAGCCGGAAAACGCAAAGAAGAAGTAGAACCCCGAACTTCAGGGATCGGATCAAATGTCCTGAACCTACACTTGCAACCTTTAAGGGGTTTCCGTTACGAAAATTATATTATTTCAAAAGACTTAAAAGTAATGACTGTCTTTTTGAAAAATTCAGATACGGATACTGCACCTTCTTGAACAAAATCGCATTTTACACACATTAAGATTTACTTACACACATTATTCGGTTATTCATAATATTATTATTGTGCTAAATATTTTCCTGGAAAATTTAATAATTTTGAACGGCCGACTTGAGACAACGAATGATAAACGGTATAACAACACAACATATATTAGACATAATAATTAACTAAGGCTATTAAAAAAGTAAAATAACAATGTAAAAAGAAATCTGAGGTGAGATTCTCAAAGGATTAAAACTGGTAAGGTTTTTGCTCCGATCGTACTTGTTCAGCCTGAGGCCTAAAAATAACAATTAGATATTTTAAACAGTATTAGAATACGCAATATCTCTCTCTCTCTCTCTATCTCTCTCTCTCTCTCTCTCTCTCTCTCTCTC